TGGTAGGACTATTGGGGATCGAACCCACGACCTCTCGCATCCGAGGCTGACGCTCTAACCACTATGCCACCGGAGCGGTCTAGAAACCTGATGTAAGTCGACAGCAAGTTAAATTATTAAAACAAAACAGGTCGTTTAAAAGAAGATGCAATGATCGATGTGAAAAGTATAACAAGTTTATCGTTATCTTCCATCTTCAGAAGTTAATTGTAAAACATAATGAGAGAAACGAGTCAGTAATAACATATAAAAAAAATGAAAACAAATTTTGATAGAAACTACATCTGCCATAACAAATGATGTCCACAAACCCAATACATCCAGAACTTTTCATTTAATTTCTTTATCTAATAATATCCGCAAAAAACGGAGTCATTGATGCAAACGGTCGAAATAGCTGAAGAAAAAAATATAGTAGGGTTTAAATTTAAAATCGCAATTCAAGAAAAACTGTCCTTGCGTTACTTATTAAATCCTGTTCACCAGCGTACATAAACATAAGACCGTCTAACATTTTTAGTGACTTGTTACAGTACATGTACATGAATATCTGAAGAAGAAAAAACTGTGTCAGGGTTCATACATACATGTTCTCCCAGATTCCACTGGATGCACGTGGTAAAGATGTGACCATATAAATAAGGAAGTACGTAAATGAGAACAATATTGATGCTTAACTTGGAAAACTAAGATCACTCCAAAATACTGACCTTGTTTATATGTTAACTGTACCCTATGTTTTAGTTATGAATCACCCACATAAACAATGAATGCAGGAGATAACCATACACGGGATATCTCCGGCAGTTACAAATCAAACATCAGGTGATACCGGACAACGGAAAGGGTATCAAAGTTTGACTACCCTAGCATCTTACGATGAATCGGGCGAAACTGTTGACTGGTTGTCCGCTTTATGCATACATTAGGCAAAACTGTTTATCGACTCTTCAAGGACAAGAGTTTCGAAGACGAGTCAGAGTTAAATGCCAAAGATGAGCAGAAGAAGAAGAAGAAAGAAATTATGTAGGTTCAGAGGGAGGGGGATTTTCCACAACAACAACAAAAAAACTTTGGAAAATTCATTATGGCATAAAACCATGAGTACATTCAAAAGCGAAAACACTTAGGGAACATAATATTTCCCCTTAGTTCCTTCACATGGTTTCAGTAAACGGCATAAAAAGTATTTTCTCATAAGTCAAACACATTTCTTAATTCTTTTGCATTAGTTATAATTATAACTTTCATTCAGAAACTTCAAATCTAATAATATCTAGTAATTAGCCGCCGTGCACACATTAGAAACACGACTGAAAAATAAAGTAAATATGAGAGAAAAGGATAAAAAAAAGTAGCTAAGAAGAGTACGAAAATTATAGGCATTACTTACAAAAATTTCTTCTTTTATTTACAAGTACTAAAAGCTAATTTGCAAGCGCATTAAAAGGGAATTCAGAACTTACAGTATCTCCTCTCATAATCATACGTTACACATATTTTAAGGTACCGCAACTAAATATTGTCAGTTTGCTACAAATAAAGACACATTCTGTCAGTTAGATTGACAATATTTACTATCAGCAGTGATTAATGAAGTTTCGGCCTGCCCAAACTGCTTTCTGGAGAGGGGATTTTGTTGTAAGACTGGAGAAATTGCGAAAACAACGACGACCCTTGAAGCGGATAAATTTTTATCGTACAGTTTTCACAAAATTTCACTTTATGACACGTATGTCGTCTTTTTGGGTTTCAGTATCTGAGATGATAACTGTCAAACAATAAACTTTCATAATGAAACCCATAATAAAATTCTATCCTTAAATCAAGCCAGTTTTATTCTCCACGCTCTTAAATCCAGTTTATGAACCAGTAAAAATTCTTAAAAAAGCCGAAAATCTGTATTTTTACCCTTGTTCTGATGCACCAATTTTTCTAGATCTAAATTGATATAAAAATTGAAGTTTTAATTTGCTGCTTTCTTGACCAAGATAATTGAACCGACGAAATTTTTAAAATTCCATCTAAAACATTTGGTTCACATTTCTGCTTTTTAAAACTGTGTTCATTCTGATTCCATAGTTTGCAATCTTTGTGTTAATTATACTGAGTTAAATTACAAGTAGTATCTGGTACATAATAAACGCATAAATACAACTGATTTGTACCAACATAATCATTCCCACTTTCTTTGTCAAATAATATCATCACACACATCAAATAGTAGGCGTATTTTTCCTCTAGTATTGCAGTTTAATATTTTTGATATAACCACACGATAAAATATCACTTTATGTGATTATGATTGGTCCAAATAAAATCACATAATTATTACGTAGTGTTTTCTTTACTGCTTGGTTGCTATCGTGGGTAAACATTTTTAAGCACGCCCCCTGCATTTCTTTTTTGTATTCAATGAATATTTTTGGCTGAAATTTTCGAATCGACTCGTGAAAGGGAATTGGGGAAAATGGTCTCGTCTGTTTCAATATGGCTAATTTATCCATACAGTGGTTTGCTATGTCGTGTATAACATATCAGAACATGAAAATGGCTAAAAAATACCAGATAAAACAATAAAAACAACAAGTAAAACTACGGGTATTGTTTGTGTGGATTGAGGGAGGCGGTAAACTTAATTAGCTCCTGAAGATTCTCTGATTCTTGGCTGCCAATTTCGGATACAAATTGCTAGCTAGCCGTTTTTTGACTAAAGAGAAGAGAATGCTTGTTTCCAAAAGTTTGCTTTATCAAAATAATTCCTCCATATCATCAGGACTATTTAGTGTGTGTGGATAAGTGATTTTTTATTTATAGAAAAACGGATAAAAATAATTCCAGATTACCAACTTAGAACGTGGAACATAAGCAAACGGTCACGTCATTTAGAATTTTCAAGTCATAATTTGCTAAACAGGAAAATGACGTTATGTAATGCTCAATACACGTCAAATTAACAACCTTTAACTCGTTTTGCTTTCCTTGCATAGTGACAGGTGGGAAAGGGTGATATGAAGGGATGGGTGAACTTCGTTTTAACAGCACTGTTTAAGACATTATTGGATATTTCATGCCGGATAAATTGTAGTCAAATGTTTCACTAGGACATATTGCAGAAGCCGGCCCTGGCTGATTTAAGTGTTTGTGTGTCTTGGAGTAACGGCAGTTGTAACAAATTATTGACTATTTTATATAGAGAAAATTGGTGCTAAATGTCTTCATAGGACATATTGCAGCATTCGATTCGGGCTGGCCTTGGCGGTTATTGAAACCGTGACCTGTGGATCATGAATCAGAAACTACACCAATTCAGCTATGGTGATTCTTCCTGGTTCTCATAATCCTTAATTTTCTTATTTAAGGTGTGAATTGGCATGTTGTCCTTAATTTAAATAATTTGATATTACCTTAACAAAGTTTGAGTTTCGTTATCTCACTACATTCTGATCACCTCAGCTATTTCTGAAAGATGAAAGTTTTCATCTCGAAGTTGCGAACTTAGGACTTGCTTACATCGAATTGTATAACGACGTAATTCAAATTCAAATTCTTCCCATTTTGCGCTAAATCTATTGTAGAGAAAAGACCAAATTAAGATGAGTGCTATGTAGGTTTCAAAGCATGCGATGACCCAGGCAAAGGAAAATAATAATCAGTGATGTACTGGAACAAAAGATAAGTTAGAACGCCACCAGGGCAGTGAGGCGCCCAATGGAAAGGACACTCTAGCAGAGTTGAAGGCTTTGACCTAGACATGTAACCAAAGTAACCGCAGTTATCAAACTACTTGATTATGAAGACACAGGAGATGATTATGGTTCCAAATCCAGACACCTTACGAACATAACCCCGTAAGTGAAGTTTTTATGAGGCGCCTCATTAGACCTGTTGCAAGACATTTTCAAACATTTATTCTTTTTTGCTGCCAGTAAATCAGTCATTAATTGTACCAGTTGCTACCGCCTACAAGAGATTGGATTGGTGTACCTATGATACTTGTTGTGGTCAGAATTTCAGTAACACCAAAGCCAAAAGTGGTGTTTGCGGTTATTAGGCACATTGCATCCGTATCCACACGCATGCGCTTTCGTGATCGCGAACCACAGCCTCCAAACCTCAACGTCTTGAACGTCTACGATATACATTGAATTCTTCCAGTTTTGTCTTGGAAATAGCAAGTTAACTCGATCGACGTCAACATTATCTCGGCTAGTAAGCTATTTCACATCCACTTTGGTGGCAAGCCTGGGCAGATTCACTCTAGGGCGTTTTCGTAGAAAAGTTAAGCATCAGTAAACTTTTTAAAGTCTTTATCATACCATAAAGTATAATTCCTAAATGTGAACGCTCAAGCGCATTTGTTGATTAGCAACAAGATGTCCACATATGTGGCCTTCTAGCCTAGATTCTAATAAAAGCACACTGGTTATTGTCCAGCACCTCGGGTTAAATAATTTAAATAAGAAACTGCTTCAAGTGGCGGTCTAAGACCGTGCGAGTCAAAATTCAAACGATGTCGAGGACTTACGACTCATGCGAGTCAATGCTTTTAGGTCCTGTTGTCAAATCCAGGCTAATGATGCCGGTTTTCTTTGTGCATAGAATCATCGGTGCAAGTTTATCCCGCATAGAGGCACCTCAAAAATGATGGACTGATTTTGTCATCACGAGTAAATACAAAATGGTCAATAGACACTAGAGAAGCTTTGCTTATATGGTTGTCAACTGCGAGGCCAGAACTGGTGACGTCTTCCCCTTCTACGACTGGATAATCAAAGAGCTTTTCATTGTTATGCTATCTTGGGACCGCCTTTTCATAACCATCACGATTGTAGTTTTGACGGCTCCTAACGCAGCTGGTTATTCGTCTGCTTCAGCCGCCGACGCTAGCAACACTGCAAGGAATGGAAATATTTACTGGTCTTTTGCGTTTGTGAAATGAAATGCTCTGCTGAACAGTGCCATGATGTCGTCGTTGACAAATCTTGTTTTAAAGTATGCGGCGTTGTTTTATAGCGTGCAAGCGTTCCAAGGGCTTCTAAGAATGTCACACACGAATAAAATATGGACA